GGATTTAAAATTTGCTTCCTTTTTTAGATAATGTTGCACACAAACACAACTGATGTGTGTCTCAACAAGCCATTTAAAGATCGCATTCGAGAACAGTGAAACGAGTGAATGGTTAGCAGGGAAAAATCATTCAGGCAATCGAAACAGTCTACGAAAAACAAAGCAGACACTCATGAGGCATATTAAGATAGTTGATATTTCCCTACCGTTTTTTTTCTTTAGAATTTGAGTGAAAAGAAATTATATGCTTACTGAATTGATATAATGTTATGGTCCAAGGAAGAACAACACGAACACAAGAGTAGAAATAACAAAGGTATATTACACGAAAAAATAATACAAGATGTGGAAGGTGTTAGTATGACTGTCAGTCTGGTTTGGAGTGAACTACTATCGGCTCGACTCGATTCGATATTTACTTGCCCCACCCCCAAGAGGGAAAGATGCGGCACAAGGCCGAGTTTAACGTGGGTTTCCCGAGCCCGTAGGCTCGGCCAAAAAATGCCCGTAGAACCCGTATAAACGGTATCGGGTTGGTCAACCTCCCCGAACGAGACTCTGCCCTTCGGCGGAGCCTCGTCCGGGTTCCTCTCTGCTCAGAGGCAGAGAGTTCGACCGTCAAGCCGAGCTTCTCGGCTTGAATCGACCCTCTCTCTTGAGAGGCGTAGTATACATAGTGTTAGGAAGTGTTCATTCTGTAGTTATAGGTAAGGACCCATGACATATAATAAATTCAATACATTTTAAAATACGTTTTTATGGGGTCGTTTTGTACGGCGAATGTAGCACGAATCTTACATTTTCACTTGAAAATTTGGTGCCGACTTATACGCCCAGTCTGGCGTGTTTGTGGATCAATTGCAGCGCCGGATGCTGTAAACTTTTTAGTCGAACAACCAAATAGAATGACAGTCTGAGGAGAACAAGACAATTATAAAGAGAAGAAATAACCCTGACAACCGACATATGAGCACATACACATATGCCCAGGCGTACACGTACACAAGAAGACACACACACACACACACGTACACACACACACGTACACATATGTGTATATATATACACATACATCCACATTTTACATATATATATATACATACATACACATTTACACACACACACACACACACACACACACACACACACACACACACACATATATATATATATATATATATATATATATTAATACAAATATGAAATTAATAATAAATTAATATAATTTATTACATTAATATAATTTTTATATATATTATTTATATATTATATATGCGCGGTACTTATTGGAAAGCGCTCAATATCATTGATAGAGCTAACATATTTGGTTGGATTGATGTGAGTTTGTGACCCTGGGTTTCACGCTTTAGCGACCGTCAGACAAACGTTTGTCTGACGATCGCAATAGCGTGAAACCCAGGGTCGCAAACTCACATCAATCCAACTATATATATATATATATATATATATATATATATATATACAGAGAAAGAGAGAGAAAGAAAGAGAGTTAAAAGCACGCAGTTTAAGAGAGTGTTAATATTGTTTACTTTAAGCCATAAAACTCTGTTGGATATTTCATTGTCATGACTGAGGCAATAATTTTGACGACTGCACGTAATTCTTACAGCCGAGTTATGGATTTATTGATTGGTTGAACCCATTAGAGAATGATTAAAAGATTTGAGCATCTTGTTTACGAAACCGCAACATCCAAGGAATGCCACACCGGCTGATAGTCATTGGTTCTTCATTCTGAAAGCATTTGCCATTTTCCGGTCATAAGGTTTATTTAGAGCGATAAACTAAGCAGAAAGTCAGATTTAAATATTAACTCCCCGTCCTCCTTTCATTTTATATCTGTAAGATAACTTTTTATCGTCATCCCTAGACCTTTATTATACGACTGTTAAATAAACAGAGGCCGTCGAAAACTGAATTTGGGTCGAATTTCTTTTATTAAGATTTTTCGAATACACAGTCCTATAGAACGAAATTTAAATAAATATATAAAAATGGCGCCTCTGTTTCAAATACGACTAATAATATAGGCATTATAATAACGTTTTAAGTCATAAAAAATGTCGGATTAAAAATAAAATCGATTAAATTTTAAATAATTTTTATTTATGTTTGGTCGTATGTTGATTGGGGGATGTTTTGTGAAAAGATTTACGTTGGACCGGTTGTGGTTGTAGGCAGAGAGATCTTAGATTCTTTAAGTATGGATTTTATAAGAGTTGGTGATATAATAAAGCCTGTTTGACGTGTGTTAATTAATGGGATTTCTTCCAAATATTTCCTACGTAATAAATAATGTTCTTTCCTAATTAGGGGAGCATTTATTAAATCGATTCTAATTGGAAAAGATCATAATAAGTTAACGAGAAAACATTTCTGTCTATATTTCCGAGATGAGGTATTAGGTACATTATTTAAATTATTCGGACTATTGTCCTCATCTTTGTCGCCATATTTATTACAACGTTTCGGCCGTTGTACGCTCCGGCCTTATTCAGGTGGTTGGAATGTCGAACTGAACCCTTTATTTCGCTCACTGGGGTAGACTGTTCTAGTTCCACGTGCCATGTTTAATGGATGCCAGTTATCAGGCTTTAGTTAGATCCGGTTATGTGGGATGTTGCGGAAACGATTACCATCCATTTTTTACTATAGTATGATATCTACCATCCATTTTCTACTATAGTATGATATCTACCATCCATTTTTTACTATAGTATGATGTCTACCATCCATTTTTTACTATAGTATGATATCTACCATTCATTTTCTACTATAGTATGATATCTACCATCCATTTTCTACTATAGTATGATATCTACCATTCATTTTCTACTATAGTATGATATCTACCATCCATTTTCTACTACAGCATGATATCTACCATCCATTTTCTACTATAGTATGATATCTACCATCCATTTTCTACTATAGTATGATATTTACCATCCATTTTTTTTACTATAGTATGATATATATCATTCATTTTTTACTATAGTATGATATCTACCATTCATTTTTTTACTATGCTATATTTATCAACTGCTGGAAGAATGAAATATGTTAGGGTTAGAGTTAAAAGCAGTGAACAGTGACCTAGTTATGTATTAAAAATCATTAACAATTTTTTATACGAAAAAATAAAAGGATATCAAATAGGGATTTTAATATTTGTAAACTGATTGGTTTGGCTTGGTTTGATTTGATTTGGTTTAGGACATATCAATCATGATGGGTTATTTAATGCCGACAAGATTTTTCTTCTTTTTTTTTTTTTTTGCTGGTAATATTTTTACCAAAAGTATATTGCTGGTAATACTTTTTTTCTTTCAGAAATATATTGCTGGTAATATTTATTTTCTTCAAAAATGTATTGCTGGTAATAATATATTGCTGGTAATAATTCTTCCTCAAAAAATGTATTGCTGGTATTAAACCTATTTTTACACTTTCATAGTGATTTGACCCCAGTTTGGGGGTCAACTATTTGCTAAAAGGTGCTACCACTCTGGGTCAGGGTAGACTTGGGAACACCAATAAATAAGAGATAATTACATGCTCCCCAAAACTTGCTGTCGGATGTAGTTTATCGTCATACCCGGGGCACGGATAAAGTTTATCTTCTTACCCAGAACGGTTGTAAACTGAGTTGATGTCATTTAAAAAAAATTACAGTAAACATATCATCGTTTTTCTGAGCATTTCCAGCAAAAATGAGTGCATCGTCATTTATGGTAGATCGCAAATACCTCGGTATATATCGTCTACCCTTATTTATATCCGACGTGCCACCCTTATTTTTATCTGAAGTGCCTTTTTCATGGTACTGAAATCGCGCGCCATATTCTCTATAGAAAAAAACAAACGCTCACGCATTATAGTCCAATAGGAAAATGCGCGAAAAAAAAAAGTCCTCTCGTAGAATCTCTCACATACAACAAATAATAAAAAAATAATAATTTAAAAAAAAACACAACCATTTTTGTTTGTTATGTGTCAGCGATTTCCCGGATCAATGTCATTAATTCGACGCCATGTCGTATTAAGGCGAGGATTTGGCCACCAACGCCTGTTACTCGCAACGGATTACTAGGATCCGCCCGTAAATCCAATCGGGCTGTCGCCACGGAGCTGCTGCCTTGGGGAATTAAGTTAACAGATAAGATGTATGCAGGCGGCAAACTAACCTGAAAACATTGGCTAAAAGTAAAACAAGAACAGCAAGAAAGCGCTAAAAGAATTTCGGTGGCATTCAGATCTCCCATCTCAAAAACACGATCACATGTTAAAAGCATGAAATAACTGACTTTTGCTCAAAAGACTATCTGAAGAGTTGTCTCCCTTGTGTTTATGTTAATGAAATTCACGTCTTGCTGTAAATTAAGCGTTCATTATTATATAGAAGAATTCTGGTGTTTTTTTTTGTTTTGTTTTGTTTTTTGTTATTTTTCTTTAACATTTTCTTGTTTTTGAAATCTCTATTATTTGTTCTTTTTATTTCTTTTTCCGATTATTTTTTTTTCTGGTTAGAAAATAAAGGATAGCACATTCTCCCCAATCGATTCATCCTTGTCTTTGAGAAGTTGGTTTCTTCATAGAATGAAATCGATCAAGACGCCTTCGATTACATATCAACAGATACAATAGTTGATAAACGCTTGAGATTTTTTTTATCTGCCATTTCTTTTCTTTCTTCTTTTTTCTTTTTTTTTCTTTTTTTTTTGATATCAAAAGTCTTTGAGATTCCGTATAACAATTGACACTTGAAATCACGTTTTATTTATTTATTTATTTTTGTCAATGAATTATGAAATCCAACCTCATTTCTTTCAGACATTATTCTCTTGCTTTGCAAGCGACTTCAGACATTGTTTGAACTGACGTTGATGTATCAGATTTTCCATAAAAGCTCAAGCAGAAGAAAGGTGTTTCTTTTTTTTTCTGAAAGTGGTTATCAAATGGATTATCATCGTGTAAAAATGAATGTCGAAAAAATGGTATCTCTTTATAAGTAATAAAGAGTTGGGAAGCTGAAAGAATCAGCATATATTAACTTACCGGTTAGAATTACAACACGATGTGAATTCCAACGCTTTCAGGGACGCGCGATGGAATGCATAGTTGAATAAAACCAGTAATCTAGAATATCTTCATGTTAAAAAATTATGGAACAACCTGTATTGCACGTATTTCTGAAAATACAACAGCCTATTTTTCCAATTTATATTTGCAAACGTATCTGCTAACATTTCAATATTAATATTCAGTCTATATCTTCATTCTTTCCATCGTTCTGTAAATTCTTCAATCTCTCTTCCTTCTTTCTTTCACTTTCATTCATCTTTCAGTTCTTTCCATTCTCTATTCTTCCTGCTTTCATTCCTCGTTCTTTAAATCCTTCTATATTTCCAATCTTTCCGTCTTTAAAACCTTCCGTTCTTCAAGCCGTCTATAACTTTATTCTTTCCATTTTTCTGTAAATTCTTCAATCTCTTTTCCTTCCTTCTTTCAGTTCCTTCATCTTTCAGTCCTTTCCACTCTTCATCCTTCCAGCTTTCAGTTCTCCTTCATTCAATCCTTCCATCTTTACATTCTTTCTTTTATTCCTTCTATCTTTCCATCCTTCCAATCTTTCCTTCCTGCAACCTCTCTCCTTATTTCTAACCCTCTTTTTTTAATCCACTCTTCTTTCAGTTCTTTCCGTTCTCTATCCTTCCATTTTTTCAGTCCTTTTTCTTTCAATCCTTCCAATCTTTCCATCCTTCCAATCTTTCCCTCTGTAAAACCTTCCGTTCTTCAAGCCGTCTGTAACTTCATTCTTTCCATTTTTCTGTAAATCCTTCAATCTCTATTCCTTCCTCCCTTCCCTTTTTCAAACTTTCCTTCATTCAATCCATTCTTCTTTCCGTCATTTCGACTCTACGTCCTTCCAGATTTCAGTCCTCCTTCATTCAATCCTTCCATCTTTATATTTTCCTTCAAATCCTTTTATTTTTCTAATCCTTCCTTCTTTACACCCTTTCTTCCTTCAATCCGTCTATAACTTCATTTTTTTCCATCGTTCTGTAAAATCTTCAATCTCTTTTCCTTCCTTCTTTCAATTCATTCATCTTTCATTCCTTTCCACTCTTCATCCTTCCAGCTTTCCGTTATCTTTCATTCAATCCTTCCATCTTTACATTCTTCCTTTTATTCCTTCTATCATTGCATCCTTCCAATTCTTCCTTCCTTCAATATCTCTTCCTTCTTTCAAACCTTCCTTCTTTTAATTCACTCTTCTATCAGTCCTTCCATTATCTATCCTTCCTGATTTCATTCCTCGTTCTTTCAATCCTTCCATCTTTCCGTCCTTCCAATCCTTCCGTCTTTAAAACCTCCCGTCCTTCCTTACTTCAATACGTCTATATCTTCTTTCTTCATTCCTTTTTACTTTTACTTGATTTTACCAAATAAAAAAATAGAAAAGAAACAATCTCATGTCGTGATGGTAGCATGTACGGGTGGTACAGCGGTTATCAGTGTGGAAAATGGATTCAGCAAATCTCCGCCCTTTCTGTTGCACAAATGCTCTTGGGAAATCTATCTCCTTTTTCCACGCACTCGTTGTGGCTGAAAAGGCGAAACGAGCTAGTTTCACGCGTTTTAATCGGCAAGCAGTCTTAGATAGCTTTGAATTTCAAACCAATAGAGGCATGAACGCCTTCCCCTAGGCTATAGGTCAAAAGGACAGCACGTAGGAGATGTAACTTACATTAACACCTTGTAAAATCTTGCTCGTGGTTGGTACACATGATGAAAAACAAGACTGTTTCAGAATCCAACATTCATTTGAATGGATTCGGATCTTTGCATATATCATTAGTTCCGCTTGCAAATCCCAGGAATTTGCCTAGTTCCCAGAGTACTCCCATTCCTACCCAATCATGTCTTTTTCTTTTGTATACTTGCTAGGTAATTTCATCAAGCGAACGTTTCTGTTGTGCTGCATTTTACCTATCTATGAGGGCTTATATTAATAAAAATACTGTTTCCTTTATCAGATATCCCCTGCCCTTACAGTCATATCATGATGAAATACCAGTTAAGCTATGTCTAGCTTGGTCAGTACCGAGATGGGCAACCACTTGGGAATGTCAAGTGCTTTAAGCGTGGATGTGCGCAATTTGTAATGGATAACGGCTTGAGGTTGAAAATCAGAGAACCGAGTTCCAATTCCAGCCGGGTTCGTTATATTAAGTTACGCCCAAATACCCTTGGAAATGGTATGACTCAAGCTTTTTTACCCCCAGCTATGGGTTAATTAGTAAGTCTTGTATTAGTAAAAATCTTTATTATCTCTAAAAAATTGTTAAAATCTAAAAATATTTTCTGGCTTTAAATAACCTGCAAACGGTTGTTAACCGTAAAAAAACAAATCAATCCATATGTGCAATCATGCTTATTGTATTAGTTTGTTTCTTGAGACCTACACGGGGTTGTTTTTCTTCCCATGTTTCTGGCTACCATATTGTTTCATTACTTTGCTGTATTTTTCTTTTTTTAATCATTTCACCACAAGCAAGGTGTGAATGCCACTAGTGGGCAGGGGGTTACGGGGAGTAAAAGTGAAAGAGAAGACTGAGAATAGGTAGGATTGAGGAAAGGACAAAAAAATGAATATTGATGTTGCATTTAAATTTTTCAAGATTGTAGTTATCAAAGAAGCAAGTAAAGTGACTCCCACAAGTGGGAAGTGCGAGAAAAGAAACTGTTGGAGTAGAAGTGGCAGTTGTATTTTGCTATTTCAACAGTAAAAGAGTGGGACCTAATTGCCAATCTAGTAACCCGCTTAAATTTATGTATTCGGGGAACCAGGAGGAAAAAGGTCGCCCGATGTGGCCCACGGCCGAAAGTGTGGAACACCCAGTGAGGATCGAACTCACTATTTAGTCCTAACTAGATTGTTAACCATTACACTACGCCGAGGTGCCATGTTATTGTTGGATGTAACTGAGTGTGTCGAGAAGTTTCATGCTAACTCTATGGAACTCTTCAGAAACTATTTGTATTCTTTGTCTCTGTTGCAATAATAATAATAATAATAATAATAATAATAATAATAATAACAACAACAATAACGAAGACAACTAAATCTCTATTCTTTGAGACTTTACCATTCATACTGACAGACAAAAAAAAAGCTAATAGACCAGATATTGTTTGGTATGTTTTATGGTATATCAACCTCAATGGGTTATTTAATGCCGAAAATTTCTTATTGTTAGTAAGATTTTTTCAAAGATATATAGCTAGTAATATTTTTCCTTCAAAAATCTATATCTGGTAATATTTTCTTTAAAAAATTATTGCTGCTAATATATATATATATATATATATATATATATATATATATATATATATATATATATATATATATATATTGCCTAAAATGTATTGCTGGTAATAATGTATTTTCAAAAAATATATTGCTGGTAATAACTTTTTTACAAAGTATTTATGGTATTAAAACCTATTTTTACACTTTCATAGTGTTTTGACCTTAGTTTGGGGAGTTAACTATTTGCCCATAGCTGGGACCCTAACAGGTGCTACCACCCCATATCAGGGTGGACCTGGGAACACTAGAAATTAAGAGGTGGTTCCATGTTCCTGAAAACCTTCCAATCAGAGGCCTTGCTGTTGGATGTAGTTTATCGTCTTACCCTGGACGCGGATGTAGGTTATTGTCTTACCCAGGGCGCGGATGTAGTTTATCGCCACACCTACGTCAGATCCAGACATTGTAATTAAAAAAGACAAGTAAAAAAAAAAAAAAAAAACATTTTGTAGTGCCATCAGCGAAAAAATATATGACAAAATAAGTTAAAACAGGCTTGGTTAAATTAGACATATCATGTTATGACATATTTGTTTTCATCCTTTCGGTTTTAAATTCACAGAAACACATATGCATACTCGAGGACTACTTAACCCCTTGAGGATGGTCTCAGATGAGATAGAAAGTACTTGGGAAAATTTAAAAAAAAAAAAAATAGATATATAGGTTTTGAAATTGAAATTGGAAAAATCACGTGGAACCTTAAAACTACTGTCATACCAATAATAATTAGAGCACGGAGTACAGTATAAAAAGAAAGTACAGACAAGAACACAAAATCCCTGTCAGTCCCTGTTTACAAAAGTTGAAAAAAATACACTGTGTGGATCTGGTCATCTACTCGGGAGAGTATGATCATTGTAAACAAAATATAAACACTGTACATGTCAAGTAGCACTTAACATCAGCGACAGAAAATAATAATAATAATAACTTTTACTATGGAAACGAAAACTGTAAAAAAATTGGTATAAACACCACCCAGATATAGTAATCAAAGACCATAAAAACAGAATGGGCTTTCTTAATGACAAGGTTGTTCTGCAGTTTCTAGTGAAAATTTGAAGTTCTTAAAAAAAAACAAAAACAAAAAATCTCTCAAATTAAGAGGATTTTGAAGTGGAAATTTCAAGAATGTGGAACATGAAGACATCAGTAATTCAAGATGTGGTCCAGGCGAGTGTGTGGTCGTTGGAAGCATGGCCGTTGGAAGCGTGGCCGTTGGAAGTTTCGTCGTGGTACCCGAGCAAAGCAAAAGTCTGAAAATTCAGCTTGTTTTCAAAAGACAATTACGTCTGCACGACTCTCCAGCGGGAATTACTGGTCCTCGTACGGGCCGCTGTCCCTAGCAAGCGAGTGGTCGTCATCGTGGCCGTCGGATGCGTGGCCGTTGTACGCGTCGCCGTGGTACACGAGCAGAGAAAAAATCTGAAATTTCGACTTGTTTCCAAAAGACAAATTACATCTGCACGACTCTCCAGCGCGAATTACTGGTCTTCCTACGGGCGGCTGTCCTTTGTAAGCGTGTGGCCGTTGGACGCGTAGGCCCTAAGTTTGATTGAAAAAAAAAAGGTTGTGGTAGACTTATTGAAGGGATCTTTGGCAGCACATTTTTTAAGGAAATACAAAAAAAAATGTTCTCACAAGCAGAGCTCACACCATACGAAGGGCTTTATCTATGTAAAATGTGTATGTGTTTGTATTTTTTAAACAATTGTGCATTGTAAGCTATTTCTAACCTTGGATCTCTGATTTCTCTAAGAAAATAAGTACGCAACAGAAATCAAAGAAAAAAGGAATCCCTGATAGCCATTGTCTTAAAGCAGGAGTCGGCTACTTATGGCACGCGTGCCACACGTAGCACGCCAAGCAATTTCCAATGGCACGCAGCCGCAAATGACATCACGAAGTCAGGATCAATAACTACTACAACGCAAAGAAGATATTTAAGTTTCAAATTTAATATATACTAAAGTATATATATACTACATATCTCTATAAAAGGAAGGACGTGTGTGTGCGTGTGTGTAACAAATGCACGGCCACAATTTTCAACGGATTTGCACCAAAATTTACATGCACATCCTCCAAGTTAGCAGGAAGGCCGACACCGAATTTGTATTTCCCAACTCCCAAAATAATGGAAATAATCGATTTTTTTATGCTTCTACGACAGTTTTCATGTAGTTTGGGGCCATTTTGTACTGGCAGAGTGAGAGCCTATAACTGGCTGCCACGTATAGGCAGGAAGATTCTATTGGCCACCGTGAGAGCCAACAGCTGACTGACACGGATGTTAACTAGCATGATAGCATGCAAAAAAATTCGATAGCTGCATTCGTCACAAGTGGGAAAAATTTAAATCTGCATGGCACTTTACTCCAATTGGCTCATTCGCTTGTTTAAACTCAACGTTGATTCTGATTCCGCAGAATTGGGTTGGGTTTGAAAAAGTATTTGTTGTTAACATTCTTTTTTCATTCGGTTTTTCCAGTTACGAGTCCTTTTTTAAAGCTGATCGTTTAGTGTTCATTTTGTTTAGTTCTTTTTTCGTAACAGATTTAATGTTTAGTATAGAGCTTAGAAAAAATTTGCAGTGTGAGATAGGCAAGAAGTAAGGCATGTAGCAACATCAGCACGGCAAAGGGCACTCCTTTAAAGGCAAGGAAGGGCAAAAATAAGTCAAGAAATAGCGATTGCTGTATGAGTCGTACGATTTTTGAATCAAGCACGGGCAACGCATGGCCATGCTGCTAGTAACTATATAAAATATATTGTAGAACTGGTATATTGACCTTGACTTGTATACGCATGCTGTTGTCACACTGAACGATTTTAAAACACTAAGTCGGCACATAGCAAAAAGTTGCCGACCTATCGAAGCGTTTGCTGGTATCCCATGCCTTAAAGAAATACTAAAAATTAATCACACAAGTACAGCCCACACCTTACGAAGGACTTTATCTATGTAAAATATGTGTGATTTTTTTTTAAACTGCTCAGTAGAAAATGTCATGATGCCATTTTTGAGCTTAGATCTCTGGTTTCCGGAAAGAAATGAGTATACACCAGAAAC